GGGAGGCTGAAGCTATTATTGTCCATTTGTCAGAAAAGGAGACTCCAGTTAGAGTCCAGTTGGAAAAGAGGTTTTGACCAAGATAAGAATATAAATCAGTACTATAGTTTACAGGATCATCTAAGTAGCTAGTCCTGAGGGCGGATGATGCTGTGTGCTGACTTGAGCAGTATGGAAATCCCTGGCCACCCTGTCTTTTACCCATTAGGCTACTGAAGTGCACACAGTCTGTGAGTAGCCCACGCCACTCAGCTAGAGCCTGGGTCTCCTAAGTTGAGACCCTGCATCAGAGTCTTCTTGGTCCCAGTAACACATCCCATGCTTCCTCTTGTGAAGATGAATCCAAACTGAGAGGTCACCAGGTCAAGGGCAAGGGAAGATCCACATGCTTGTGCTGACCTCCCAGAGTCTGTGTGATCCTGCCACCACTTCTCTTCCTCCTTGTCCCAATCCTACGCCTGCGACCTGATGACCATTTCACTGTTTATTTATACCTTGCCTGGACTGCAAGATATGTGAAAAACCAAGGCGGGAGGATCACCTAAGGTCAGGAGTTTAAGACCAGCCTGACCAGCATGGAGAAACCTTGTCTCTACTAAAAATACAAAATTAGCAAGGCTTGAGGGTACATGCCTGTAACCCCGGCTACTCGGGAGGCTGGGGCAGGAGAATCGCTTGAACCCAGGAGGTGGAGGTTGCAGTGAGCCAAGATCGCACCATTGCACTCCAGCCTGGGCAACAAGAGCGAAACTCCATCCCAAAAAAAAAGAAAAAAAAAAGAAAGAAAAGAAAAGAAAAACAAAAACCAACACTCACAAGACCGGCACCCAAACTTGTTGCCTTTGTTCCTGCTTTTCACTCTTGATAAAGCCATTTCTGCTGGTGGCAGCTGCACAGATTGTTTGGAGGAAGAGCATGGAAATTGGATGAGCCCAACCCAGAACCTCTACTTCTGCCCTCAGTGGCTGGGTGGTTTGGGGCATGCCATTTAACCTCTCTGAGCCTGGTTTCTTCATCTACACAACAGGGACAGTGACACCCATCTCATAGGGTGGTTGTGGGGATTCAGTGAGAAAATGGAGAGAAGGTGACTTGAATAATCCTGGATGCAAGTGAAGCATCCTGTAAGTGGTCACTGTGGTTGTTATATTAATAGGTTCTTTTATCTCTCACTGTCATAAGACATCAAGGGAGAAACTGGCTAAATTTCAGTGTTGATTTAGAAACAACTTATGTAAGGGATTACAAAAAAAAAAAAAGAACTATATGACACGCATCCTGAAATACAGGCAGACCTCACTTTATTGTGCTTCACTTCATATGCAGATACTGCATCTTTTACAAAATGAGGGTTCCTGGCAACCCTGCCTCCAGTAAGTCTACTGGCGCCATTTTTTTCCAACAGCATGTGCTTACTCCCTGTCTCTGTGGAACGTTTTGGTAATTCTGGCAATATTTCAAACATTCTCAGCATTATCAGATATGGTATGGGGATCTGTGATCAGCCATCTTTGAGGTTACTATTGTGACTATTTTTGGGGTGCCATGATCAGTGTCCACAGAAGACAATGAACTTCATCTATGCATGTGTGTGCGCTTTGGTTGCTCCACTAACCAGCTGTTCCCTATCTCTCTCCCTCTCCTTGAGCCTCTCTGTTCCCTGAGATACAACAATATTGAATTAGATCAATTAATAACACTACAATGGCCTCTAATCATTCAAGTGAAAGTCGCACATATTTCTCTTTAAATCAAAAGTTAGAAATGATTAAGCTTAGTAAGGAAGGCATATTAAAAGCCAACAGAGGCCACAAGCCAGGCCTCTTGTGCCAGTTAGCAAAGTTATAAACACAAAGCAAAGTTTTTAAAGGATATGATAAGTGCCACCCCAGTGAAAAAAGAAATCATAAGAAAGTGAAATAGCCCTATTGATACGGATAAAGTTTTATTGCTCTGGGTAAAATATCAAACAAACTACAATATTCCCTCAAGACAAAGCTTAATCCAGAGCAGGGTCCTAACTTTCTTCAATTCTGTGAAGGCTGAAAGGTGCAGAAGCTGCAGAAGAAAAGTTGCGGAGCTGGAAGAGTCTGGTTCATGAGGTTGAAGAAAATAAGCCATCTCCCTAACATAAAAGTGAAAGGTAAGGCAGCAAGTGCCAATGCAGAAGGTGCAGAATGTCTTCCAGAAGATCTAGTTAAGATCACTGATAAAGGCGGTTACACTAACAAACTTTCAGTGTAGACAAACAGTCTTATATTGGAAGAAGGTGCCTTCTGGGACTTTCATAGTTAGAGAAAAGTCCATGACTGGTTCGAAGCTTCAAAGACAGGCTAACTCTTTTGTTAGGGGCTAATGTAGCTGGTGACTTTAAGTTGACACCAATGCTTACTTTTCCAAAAAGCTTAGGGCCCTTAAGAAGTATGTCAAATGGGAAGGAGGAAGGGGGTGAGGGATGAAATACTACCTATTGCATACAATGTACACTATTCAGATGATGAATACACTAAAATCCCAGACTTCCCCACTATGCAATATAACATCCAGGTAACACAATTGCACTTGTACCCCCTAAATCTATAAAAATTACAAAAGAAGTATGCTAAATCTATTGTCTGTGTTCCAGAAATGGAAAAACAAAGCCTGGATGACAGCACGTCTGTTTACAGCATGGTTTACTGAATATCTCAAGCCCACTGTTGAGATCTACTGCTTAGAAAAAAAAATTATTTGAAACCATTAGTTCATTAATACAATGCACTTGGTCACCCTAGAGCTCTGATAGAGACATACAAGGAAATTAATGTCATTTCTGCATCTGCTAACACAACATTCATTCTGCAGCCCTTGGATCAAAGAGTAATTTTGACTTTCAAGTCTTATATTTTAAGAAATACATTTGTAAGAATACAGCCACCATAAAGGGTGATTCCTCTGATGGATCTGGGCAAAGTCAATTGAAAACCTTCTGGAAGGGATTCTGCATTTAAGACGCCATTAAGAACATTTGTGATTCATTGGAGGAGGTCAAAATAAAACATTAAGAGGAGTTTGGAAGAAATTGATTCCAACCCTCATGGATAAGTTTGATGGCTTCAAGACTTCAGTGTAACTTCAGTTAGAGCAGATGTGATGGAAATAAGAGAACTAGCATTAGAAATGGAGCCTGAAGATGTGACTGAATTGCTGCAATCTCATGAGAAAATTTGAACAGATGAGGAGTTGCTTCTTATGATTGAGTGAAATGGGTGGTTTCTTGAGATGGAATCTACTCTTGTGAAGATACTGTGAATATTGTTGAAATGACAACAAAGGATTGAGAATACTACATAAACTTCGTTGATAGAGTAGTGGCAGAGTTTGGGAGGATTGACTTCAATTTTGAAAGAATTTACACTATGGGTCAAACATTATCAAACAACATTGCATGCTACAGAGAAACCTTTTGTCAATTGATGTGGCAAACTTCATTGTTGTCTTAAGAAATTGCCACAGGCGCTCTAATCTTCAGCAACCACCACCCTGATCAGTCAGCAGCCATCCACACTGAGCTAAGGCCCTCCACCAGCAAAAAGATTATGATTCTTTGAAGTCTCAGATGAATGTTGGCATTTTTAGCAATAAAGTATTTTAAAATTAAGGTATACATACTGTTTTTTAGACATAATACTATTGCACACTTAATGGAGTAGACATTACTTTTATGTGCACTGGGAAACCAGAATGTTTGTATGGCACACTTTATTGTGATATTGGCTTTATTGCAATGGTCTAGAACCAAATCTGCAATATCTCCAAATATGCCTGTATTCCAAGGAAAAAAGTTTTTTCTTTTTTGTTGTTGTCGTTGTTTTGCACAAATCCTTTGAGAAAGAAGGCAAAACAAAACAAAAACTCATAGCAGTATATGTATGTGACAGAATGTATTTCTGAAATACATGTGATTCCTAAGTGGGACTGAGTGGCCACGTGTTGGGAGTTTGGGCTGGCATGGGACTGCTCCTTACCCTTTACTGATTCCCATGTCCTCATTCCTCAAGCCAAGGGCATATTGCCTACACCTCTGCATAGAACCCGCAACAACCCCATTTCTTTTCTACCTCCCTGTAAAGTGTTTGAAAATGTCACTCTTCTCTCACTCAGCCTGCAGACCTCTACCCACCCAGAGTGTGGTTACAGGAAATGAAGAGGCTCAAGCCGGGAAACTCATAATTTTGCACACATTTCCTTTCTGCATTGTTGTAGCAATGAAAATACACATGGTCAAATAAAGGAGGAAAATATGTGGCGGAGGTCACGAAGTTCCGCATGTCATCCCTTCAGTTCCAATCTCTCCCTGGGCGCTTCCTTGTTTTGATCCCACTTTCCTCTTGAATCTCAAATTGTCCTACTTCACTCCAGCAGCTCCTGCCCTTGCTGCCTGACCATAGCATCCACCTAGGTAGGTGGTCTCCCTACCCACAGTCACTTCTTTCCAGATGTCTTCCAGCGACCTCCAGGGAACGTTCCCACTGGCCCCAGATGAAACCCTCCATGGCTCTCAAAGTTTCCAGGGACAAGCAGGAGAATCCCATCTCCAGGCGTCACCCTCCCCCTGACATAGGTTCTGGAATACTCTGCTAGGAACGCTGTTCCTGGTCACCCGTGTGGGGTCGGGGGCTCCTCAGTGCCCAGCCTGCTGCCCACAGGAGGGGACAAGCCAGGAGGCCCTGGGCCAGGGTCTGGGGTCCGTACCCAGGCAGCCCCATCTCCTGTCTGGGGATGGGTGCCACGCTCGGGTCTCCCAGGGGCTGAGAATTAGAGGGAGTTGGAGGGGTGTCTGCCACTGCCCACGCAGCCCCAACGGGAGGTGTATGGGCACGTGGGAAACCGCCAGCAAAGGCAAGCTGGGGCCTTTCGAGGGCGACTCCCTCGGGCCGCTCAGGGTCCCAGCTGCGGGCGGCCGCGTCCGGGGGCCCGCCCAGCCGTCCCCTCCCCACGTCAGCCCCGCGTCCTCTCACCCAGTCTCCGGCTCCTGCCTTCGCGCGCCGGGAGAAGATGGCGCCACGGCGCCCCCGCCATGCCAGCCGAACCCACCTAGGCGCCTACGCAAGCGCGGTGCGTCACGGGAGCAGCGCAGTCGCGCATCGAGTCTAGGCGGAAGTTCCCGCCAGTAGACCCGAGGAAGCGGATTCTGTGTACACTGCCTGCCTCCCCTGCTTTCAGACCCCAGTGTGGCTGTTGGGTGCATCTCCCTTTTCCCACCGCGCCTTTCCCCTGTGGTGTGCCCCCCTCGCGTCTAATTCCTCTTTTCCACCGCGCCCTTCCTTCCCCTGCGGTTCCCCCCCTGGTGTCCATCTTCACTTTCCAGCTGTGTGTTCCTGCCACCCCCCACCCCGTCCCCCCACGCCCCCGCCCGGCCTGCCCCCGGCGGTCCCCCCGCCCCCGTCCCCTCCACCCCGGTCCGCCCGTCCCCTACGGTCAGTGCCCCCCCGCCCCCATCCACGCCTCTGCCTCCTGGGTCCACACGTCTCCCCCGCCTGCTTGCTCGCCCCCCTCCCACCCTCACTGGTGACTTTTCCAGCTGTTCTGGACCCTGGTGCAGCTCCCGGGTCTTCCCTGCTGGGATCCTGAGAGCATTACATGGGGTCTGAGGGTGTCTCCTGAAGTCCTGTGAAATGAATTTCCACGTTAAAATGTTTCTGTGAAAATGCTTCTGGCGTTGCCTCCCATCCATGACCCCCACAGTACTTTCACGTACTCTTTGCAAAGTGGGCTTGAGGACTCCTTTGGGTGCCAGCTGCATCTGTTAGCCTGTAGGTTCCTGGAAATGAGGATCTGTGTTTATTTCTCTGCATCCACACTCGGGAATTAAATTATGGCATACCTTTTTTTATTTCTCTTCCATTTATTGTGCTTTACAGATGTAGTTTTTACAAACTGAAGGTTTGTGACAACCCTGTGTGAACAAGTTCTCTGAAAAAAAAATGTGGAGAAAAGACACTATTCCACTGAAAAATTTGCAAACTGCGTAGATATAAAAATTACGGTGCACTCCAGAGAACAAAGAGAAGGCCCAGGTTTCATAGCAAAAGTGCCTGCCCAAGTTCCCAATCAGGTCTGTTTATGCAAAAGAAGGCTTGAAACTTACTTAGTTCTGATTGGTTGACACAGCTGAACCCTGATTGGTCAATATAGCTGAGCTCTGATTGGTTAATACAACTCAGCCCTTATTGGCCAAGGAGGTGAGCTCTGATTGGTTGATTCAGGTGAGCTCTAACTGTCCAACAGATAAAAATGTGCCAGTATTCCAGGAACTCAGAGTATATGTGTGGCTCTTAGGCAGCAAATGGCTAGTTGGCTGTGTTCTAAATTTAGGCCCAGTTGGTCCCCTGGGAGCCATTTTGAAGGAATGGCTCTTTGCAGTTCACATTTGTTCAAGCCTGCATATAGCAAGTCTATGGGTGCCATTTTTCCAGCACCACGTGCTCACTCATTGTCTCTTGTTCCATCATTTTGGTAATTCACTCACCATTTCACACTTTTTCATTATGAGTCTATCTGTTATGGCGATCTGTGATCAATGATCTTTGACATTACTGTTTTGGGGTGCCATGACACCACCACACCTATATAAGGTGGCAAACCTGATCAATAAATATTGCCTGTGTTCTGACTCCTCCACCATCTCTCTCCCTCTCCCTCTCTTTGGGCCTCCCTATTCCTTGAGACACAATACTATTGTAATCAGGCAAATCAATAACCCTGCAGTGCCCTCTAAGTGTTCAAGTGAAAGAAAGAGTTGCACATCTTTCACTTTAAATCGAAAGCTAAAAATGATTAAGCTTAGTGAAGAAGGGGTGTCAAGATAGGCCGAAAGCTAGGCCTCTTGTGCCAAATAGTTGGCCAGCTGTGAATGCAAAGGAAAAATTCTTGGAGGAAATTAAAAGTGCCACTCCAATAAACACAGGAATAAGAAAATGAAACAGCATTATTGTTGACATAGGGAAAGTCTGAGTGGTCTGGTTAGATCAAACCAGGCACAACATTCCCTTAAAAAACAAAGCCTAATCCAGAGAAAGGTCCTAACTCTTCAATTTTATTAAGATTTGAGAGAGGTGAGGAAACTGCAGAAGAAAAGTCAGAAGTTAGCAGAGGTTGGTTCATGAGGGTTAAGGAAAGAAGCCATTTCTATAACATAAAAGTGCAAGATAAAGCAGCAAGTGCTGATGGAGAGACTGCAGCAAGTTATCCAGAAGATCTAGCTAAGATCATTGATGAAGATGGCTACACTAAACAACAGATTTTCATCGTAAATGAAACAGCTTTATATTAGAACATGCCATTCAGGACTTTCACAGCTAGAGAGGAGAAGTCTATGACTGTCTTTAAAGTTTCAAAGACAGGCTGACTTTCTTGTTAGGGGCTAATGCAGCTGGTGACCTTAAGGCCAATAATTATCCTTAAGAATTATGCCAAATCTATTCTGCCTGTGCTCTCTAAATGGAACAATAAAGCCTGAGTGCTAGCATATCTGTTTACAGCAGATGGTTTACTGAATATTTCAAGCCCACTGTTGAGACCTACTGCTCTGAAAAAAAATTCCTTTCAAAGTATTACTACTCACTGACAATGCACTTGGTCACCCTAAAGCTCTGAAGGAGATGTAGAAGGAGATTAATATTTTCATACCTGCTAACATAACATCCACTTTGCAGCCCATGGATGAAAGAGTAATTTTGACTTTCAAGTCTTATATTTTAAGAAATACATCTCATAAGGCCATACTTGCCACAGAGAGTGATTCCTCTGATGGATCTTGGGATAAGTCAATTGAAAATCTTCTGAAAAGGATTCACCATTCAAGATGCCATTAAGAACATCCATGATTCACGAAAGGTGGTTAAAATATCAACATTAAGAGGAATTTGGGAGAAGTTCATTCCAATCCTCCTGGATGAATTTGAGGGGATTAAGACCCCAGTGTAGGAAGTTACAGCAGATGTGGTGGAAACAGCAAGAGAGCTAGAATTAGAACTGGAGGCTGAAGATGTGACTTAATTGCTACAACCTCATGAGAAAATTTGAACAGATGAGTTTTTTCTTCTGGATGAGCAAAGGAAGTAGTTTCTTGAGATGGAATTTACTCCTTGTGAAGATGCTGTGAACATCGTTGAAATGACAACAAAGGATTAAGAATACTATATAAACTTAGTTGGTATGGCAGTGGCAGGGTTTGAGAGGATAGTCTCCAATTTTGAAAGATTTTGCCCTGGGGGCCAAATGCTGTCAAACAACATTGCATACTACAGAGAAATATTTTTCTGAAAGGAAGAGTCAAACATCATTGTTGTCTGTTTTTAGAAATTGTGAAACCCACCACAACCTTCAACAACCTGAATTAGTCAGCAGCCATCCATATTGAGGCAAGACCTTCCAGCAGCAAAATTATGATGACTGGCTGAAGACATATGATTGTTAGCATTTCCAGCAATATTTTCAAATTAAGGTGTGTACATTGCTTTTCCAGATATAATGCTATTGTACATTTAATGAACTACAGTAGAGTGTAAATATAACATAAACAACTTGTTTGTTTATCTTATTTGCTTTACTGCAGCAGTCTGAAATTTAAACTCCATTTTAAAAAAATGGGCAGAAGACATGAACAGACACTTCTCTAAGGAAGACATACAAATGACCAAGAAATATATGAAAAAATACTCCATATCAGGCATATCTCCTGGATATCTCAGGATATCAGGAATATCTCCCAGGCATGCCTGTATGTGTTCAATAAATGCCTGCTAAAATGCAGAGCTGGTAAGATTCCTAGGCTTGCCTTAGGTCAATTCCTTTGAGGCATTATTTTTCCTCAATTACAGTGATAATGGAAATCTAGAACAACATAACCTTCCCATGCTGGAAGGAGGCCCTATATGCTGTTTGCTCTTCAAGCCCTTGTTTGGCAGTGAGGAAACAGAATCTCAAGTGAAATGACTTGCTGCAATGGCTACTCAGAGTGGATGCTTCCATACCTATGTGTTGTATATAAATGTTCTCTTTTTGAAGGTCGATCTTCAAGGACCTCAAACTGTATTCAACTGGGAGTAATAATAAGCTAACATTTTTTTGAACATTTGTCACATACAACAATGCTCTTGGCTCCTACCAATAATTGTAATTCAAGTTCAGATCATAACAATCCAAAAGAGTGGTTGAAGCCAAACCCCGAATCAACCTGGCCATCAACATTGACAGGTAAAGTATATGGGTATTTAATCAGCACAGGATATGGCTGGAAAAAAGTAGTTTTCTGAGAGTAGTAAAAACACTAAACTCGTTCCCTTCTCATAGTTTGTTCTCCATCTTGTTTGCAGAACACAACACTGAATACCCAGTTAGTAATGCAAATCCAAACTCCTTGCTTGCATCACCTTACAATTGCGCCAATGAACTTGGCTTATTTTGTTCTTTCAATGTAAATACCCCTTTTAGAAGGGAGCCAAAAGCTTCCTTTTTCTTTCTGAAGCCAAGCAAGGAGCAGTAGACTGTACACACACACACACACACACATTTTAAAAAGAGGACAAGAAAAGTTCTAAAATCCACTCAATAAAAATGTCTGCTATCTTTCTAAACAGGAAACAAAAGAAGATTTCAAGTTTTTTTTCAACCTTTATAGGATCAGCCGGTACATGTGCAGTCTTGTTACATAGGTATATTGTGTGATGCTGAGGCTTGAGGTGTGAATGATTCCACCACCCAGGTACTGAGCATAGTAACCAACAATTAGTTTTTTAACCCTTTCCCCCTGCCTTCCTTCCCCGCTCTAGTAGTCCCCAGTGTCTGTTGTTTTTATGTCCATGAGTACCCAGTGTTTGGCTCCTACATTTAAGTGAGAATATGCAGTATTTGGTTTCTGTTCCTGCATTAATTTGCTTAGGATAAATGGCCACCAGCTGCATCCACGTTGCTGTAAAGGACACTATTTCATTCTTTTTTATGGCTATGTGGTATTCCATAGTCTATATGTACAACATTTTCTTTATCCAGTCCAACAGTGATGGGCACATAGGTCAATTCTATGTCTTTGCTATTCTGAATAGGACTGC